GAGCACGGCGGCTGTGGGCAGCTGTGGCCACAGACGAGGGGTGCCTTGCTTTTATAGCGGTCAGGCGTCGTGTGTACGCGTGACAGGAAGGGGGGCGTCGCCGCGTCGCCCGTGAGGAATCAATGGAAGGCTGACCGGCTACAGCCTTGGCATTGATTCCTCGTGGGAAAGCGAGGCATTGTGAGGACTATGAGGCGAGTGTCGCTGACTCGACGGGTCCGCAATTCGTTCGCCGCCAAAATCGCTTGCTCCGGCGCCCCGAACTCCCTCAGCGCGCCGGGTTCAGCCTGGGTCCGCCGGCACCAGTTTCGGCCCAAACTGACGAAAAACGGGCTCCTAGGGGCGCGACTGGGCTGATTTTTGGACGATGGCGCGAAAAAATCACCTGGGGGACCTGTTGGGGGCGCGACTGGAGATGCTCTTAGGCTAGTCATAGTGGGAGTAACTTAGCTAGTAACATAACACATCCCAAGACAAGTTTACTTATGTGGCACCTAGTTAATGAGGAGAGAGGTGTTTGGAGTAACATATTATGTTACCATCATATAGCGCTTCCCAAGAAATGTTGAGTCTATAAGCTAATAAATGCAACCATATATAATACTACTTCTATGACACTTTGCACTATGAAGGTAGTAACATAAACTAGTGTCATACGTATGACACTAGTCTAAGTTACTCCCCACTATGACCAGCCTTAGCAATTCAACTCCCCAATGCATAGGTGCTTAACTTGTTGTTGCTAAGCACACTTTATTTAATGAGTTAGCACCTAAAGTTTTTCATGCATTGGTCAAATTGTTTCATTTTAAGTTGTTTGCCTAGGTTCTCGCGCTTGGCATTCGTTCTTTCTGGGTCACCAAAGTGCTTTCTCCCCTTCTTAAATGTGATGCCATGTCATTTTTTCGTTTATGTGGCATGCTTAACACCTGTCCACAGTGAAGCACTGAGAAGACTATGTGAGTTGGCTAATCATGGCAATGTGAACTGGCTGCATATAATTCAGTTTTGTGGCATGTACAAACCCCTTTTAGAGTAGTCACACTGAGAGTAATATAGGTAGTACTCCTTTCGTCTAGGTGTACAAGTCATCTTACAAAAACCAAATAATCCCAAAACACTTAGGCATAGTGCATTAACTCACATCTCATTTCTTGTTTCTTGATATAAATAAAGGAATCAACCAATAAGAGATGTGGGGCGTACATGTTTTAATGACTTGAGACTACCAAACACGACATGGATGGTCAGTTCATCACGTGCAATGATATTAATTAGCAAATAAATATTAAGCCATCTCGTTTTTTCCTCCTCTTTGATCATGGTGCACAACCAAAAATGATTTATGCACCTAGACGGATGTCACATAAGAAAAAATATGATATGGAAAATAATTAAAGAAGAGAGAGACAAATGGTTACCATCACATAGTGATTCCCAATGAAAAATGACTCTAGAAATAAATAAATGAAGGTATCTATACTATCACACATATGACACTACCTACTATGAAGATAATAACATAGACTAGTAACATACTCTCCTTCCGTTTCTAAATATAAGTTTTTTTAGATATTCCACTACAAGCTACATACGGATGTATATAGATATACTTTAGAGTGTAGACTCACTCATGTTGCTCCGTACGTAGTCCGTGGTGAAATCTCTAAAAAGACTTAGAGCATCACCGGCCGTTCGGCCCCCCAGGGCACCGAAAAAGAGCCCTCTGGGGGCATGCCGGCGGTAGATTGGCGCGTGGGGGCGAGCGGGTTCCCAGCCGCTCGCCCCAGGGTCGCCCTGGACGCGCATTTTTTTATTTTAAAACATATGAATTCGGCAAAGTTCGGCCAAATTTGGCATAAATTCGGCTAACTTGACATTCATATTAAACATGTTCGGTGTTTACATAAATTATTTAAAAAAATACATCTACGGGGAGAAGAAGTCGCTGAGCGCCATGAAGTCGCCGCCATCCTCGGCGGCGGCGGCGGCCTTCTCCTTCTTGACGGCGCGGCCTCCCCTGCTGGACCCCTGCCCGGCGTCTCCAAGGCGAACCGGTGGTAGCGGCGGCGCGTCGTCGTCGTCGCGGTCGTCGAGGACGACGACGCCTCCCTCGTCCCGGCCGCGGCGCCGGGCTTCGAAGCGCTCAAAAGCGGCGATCTGGCGCTGCAGCTCCGTCTGTGCCCAGTCGTCGCGCGCCCACTTCAAGGCCGCCTCGTCATCGAGCTCCTCCTCCTTGATGCCGCCGGCGGTCCCGGGGAGCCCTGGCTCCGTCTTCGGTTTGACGAAGCGCGGAGGTGTCGAGGAGGGGGCGCGTCGGCCGCCCTCGTTAATGACGATGCCGGTGTTGCG